CCCGATTGAGTTTCTTAAACTGATCGATGATGAAATGATAGACATTCTAGTAGAACTTTATGATCATATTTATCAAACAGGTATTTTACCAAAGGAGTGGTTAGTATCCACATTCGTAATTATTCCTAAAAAGCAAAATGCAAAAGAATGCTCAGAACACCGTACAATTGCATTAATGAGCCATGTTTTGAAAGTATTTCTACGAATAGTCCACAACAGAATTTACAGAAAGCTGGATGATGAAATTAGTGATAGTCAGTTAGGCTTTAGAAACGGCACGGGAACCAGGGAAGCATTGTTCGGTATAAATGTGCTCATGCAAAGAAATCTGGATATGAACCAAGACATGTATACATGTTTTATTGATTTTGAAAAGGCATTTGACAAGGTACAGCACAATAAACTAATTAATATTTTAAAAATGAAAACATCGATAGCCGCGACATCAGAGTAATCTCGAACCTCTACTGGAACCAGAAAGTCAAAATAAGAATTGAAAATCAAATGTCGGAAGAAATAGAAATTCTTCGGGGTGTGAGGCAGGGCTGTGTATTGTCACCACTGCTGTTTAATATATATAGCGAAGCCATTTTCCAAGAAGCTTTAGGAGAGTGTAACGATGGAATGATAATAAATGGTGAAATTATTAATAATATAAGATATGCCGATGATACTGTCATATTCACTTCAACTCTGCAAAGTCTAACAAACATACTGGAACGGCTGAATGAAAAGTGTACCATATATGGTATTAAAATGAACTTAAAGAAAACAAAATTCATGGTCATTACAAAACATCCAAAAGACAACGAGACACTCCATATTAATAATATCCAGATAGAAAGGGTAGATAAATACAAATATCTAGGAACATTGGTTAGTCAAAACGCAGAACAAACGCAAGAGATTAAAAGCCGTATAGAAATAGCAAGGGCAAAATTTGTAAAAATGAAACATCTATTGTGTAGTAGAGACCTAAGAATGGATCTAAGGATAAGGTTATTGCGCTGCTACATTTTTACAACTTTGTTCTACGGATCTGAGGCATGGACATTGAAACAACTGGAGATTAAGAAATTGGAAGCTTTTGAGCGTTGGTGTTATCGAAGGATGCTACGAATAGCATGGGTAGACAAAATTACCAATATTGAAGTCCTTGATAGGGTTAATAAGAGGGAAGAAATTGTACAGACAATTAAGAGGCGGAAACTTGAATATTTCGGTCATATATTAAGAGGTCCTCGTTATGGGCTACTACGTTTGATTATAGAGGGCAAAATAAAAGGTAAAAGAGATGTAGGAAGAAGACGAACCTCCTGGCTACGAAATCTAAGGGAATGGTTTAGTCTGAGCTCTAGCCAACTATTTAGAGCTGATGTAAGTAAAATAAGAATTGCCATGTTGATATCCAACCTTCGTTAGAAGATGGAACCTTAAGAAGAAGAGGTATAGAAAAAACAAAAGCATTATCACGCCAAATTTATTATTGGCCTGGTATGGCGATGGATATTGAATCATATAAAAGGGCATGTAAGAGTTGTAAACAATTTGCTAAAAAAAACCAAAACAAACTCTATTATCATATCCATTACCTAAAAGGCCATGGGAGAGGGTTGGGTCCGACATTTTCACATATGCTGTAAAAAGTTACGTAGTTTTATTTGACTCATATTCTAACTGGTTAGAGGTATTACCCATTAAAGACAAAAGTGCTGTTTCATTAATTGCTGAAACTAAGACAGTTTTTGCACTATTTGGATCACCTGATTTTCTTGTAATTGACAATGTACCATATAATCGTGATACATTTAGAAAGTTAAGCAGAAATTGGAACTTTACTTTTATCTTTCGTAGTCCTAATTATCCACTTTTAAATGGATTAACAGAAAAAGCACTGTCAATTGAAAAAAACATGTTAGGGAAAACCATAGATGAAAGAAAGCATGCAGACCTTCAATCAGCATTAATAAATTATAGAAATTATCCAATAAAAGGTATGGGATACTTCCCATCACAACTTCTTAATAGCAGAAGATGTAAAACAGAAGTTCCAATTTCAGTTGATTTGTTGCATCCATGTTTGCGTGAAAATGTTGAAATGAAAATGAAAGCTAAAAAAGAATTGAATGAGACAACTGTTAATAAAAATGCAACAATACTGAAGCCATTGAACAGGGACGTAACAGTCCTTGTAATAACACTTGGAAGTCTGCAAAAATCTTGAATCAACATAAATCGCCTAGATCATACATCCTGCAAGATGACAGTGGAAACATTATCAGAAGAAACAGATCTCACATAAGACCATCAGTAAATAAACATGTTGTAGACTGTGTTAATGATCGTCATTTGGGTGGCGATGGTAGTCTATTTCATGAATTGCCAGACAGGGAAGGTATTGAAACACATCAGGAACATCAATCAACAGAAGTTTTAATCCCTGATAATAATCATATTACACAAATTTAGCTGTGTGATGAATAATCATGTACTTGAAACATCAAATCATAGTACTACTTACTGTACAAGGTCAGGGAGACAAATTAAAAAACCTTGTAAGCTAAACTTATAAGGAAAAAGAAAAGAGGATGTATGATACCCAGTTAAGTGACAATAATATTACTCATGTTGGTAACAAGATGGCATGACAGGAGGTGACAGAGACAGATTATTAGGTTAGACAATGTTGTGAAGTTAGGTTACTGGCGTGTTAAGTTAATAGACTTGTTGCTTATACAGTTATATAATATAGTATTTGTTCTATTTATGATACATTCCATCAAGCTTATACAATATAATAGCAGTTTTGTCCTAGAATAATAACAAAATATACTTTATCAATAAAACAAGCAAAATCAGTTGATGTTAGAAAATTAATAGAAAAACATTATGATTAAAACTGGAAGAGTATTGAAGAATGAGGTTATTTTAAACACGTTTTAGAATTAAACAATTTAGGAAAACATTCACCTGCAGACGACGTTTATAAATAATATTACTTTACTTTCAACTTCAATACTGGTAAAATAAATACTGGTAAAAAATAAACAGGTTCACCCACTATCCTGTTTATCGGTACAATATGAATAAAATATAAATAGTCACAAAAGGAATTAGAAATATGGATAAGTTTTTTTAAAGCTTTTGTATGAATCTTTCAGATATTCGAAGTAATTTATCATGCAGCCCATTTTTATTAACTTCTTCAAAATCTTTTGTTTTTGTCTTGGTTTAAAGTAATTTTAGAAGGCTACGGGACGTTTCCCTACTTTTTTAAGGCAAGTAATATCTTTTTACGCAATTTTATTATATGCGTTTCTTTGTGGAACGTATCCACCGCATAAAATGAGACCTTATTGTATATTAAACATTTATCATTAAACAGTGGAACTAAATAAAGTTACGGTTATGGATATTCATGTTCAGTGTTATGAATACCTTTCAACATAATACGTATGTCTACGTACTATAGTCTATGTCATGTAAATATGAATTATCAATAATAAGGTATTGAAAACTAATAACGGTACATGCCACTGAAGATAACCTCTTTACCTCTTCACTGTTGACGTATATTTGTTGTGCCATAGATAAAACCACATGTTTTAATCTAAAAATATCATAATAATGTTTACCAGACATCTTTTGGAGTGGCAGTTTTATTGGTTCGTATGCTGAAATGTTATTAAAAAGTCTAGATATGAAATATATATTAGATTATGAGATACTTATCGGTGATTGAATAATGTATCTAGTTTGGTACAAATTTATATACGAAGTGACGTGAAATAATTATGTATAATATGTAACATGGCAAAAGCTAATGGGAAACTTCTTTGAAGCGTTATATTTCTTAGAGATGAAGCAAACTAAAAAACCATTTCAAAATCGTTACCGCACGTTGTAGTAATCATTTTTTTTAGGAAATCAAAACTTTTTTTTATTTAAACAAATATACTCGCATCAGCTACTAAGGGTTATTAGCGTGACATACACAAACAGTGTAAGATACATATTGTTAAATAAAAAAAAATATTTTATATAGTTTAGTCATTTTAAGATAACTTATAAAGACTGTAAGTTTGACGTTAGTACACTTTTTAAATTGTCACTAAGGGCACAGGCGATTCTTTCGTTCTGGTACACTGGACACTCGACAATTATATGTTTCACTAACAACTGAGTGTTGCACTTGGTACACATCGGAGCAGCCTCCTGGGTAAAGATATGCTTGTGAGTAAAGAAAGTATGCATTATTCGGAGTCGGTTGATGATGACTTGGTCTTTTCTATTACTTGGTAAGATGAGTTTGCTTCCTACTTGACTTAGACATTCCTTGAGTTTGTTGGCAGTATGATCCCAAGTAGTTTGCCACGCTCTATACATGTGGGCTTTGATATTTTCTTTGTGATCAGTCCAACGTAGTTGATTTATGATAGAAATACTTTGGTCGGTTGTTGCATTGCTTGCCAGAGAGTCTACTTCCTCATTATCACTTATTCCCATATGGAAAGGTACCCAGATGAAGAAAATATCTTTTTGTTGAGTCTGTAGATAAGATAGCTCTTCTTTGATCTTGAGAAGTATGGCATGAGTTGTATATAACTGTTTTATTCCAAGTAATGCGCTCATTGAATCGGTGATGATAACAAATTTTCTTTCATTAATAGAACCACATTTTTTCATAGCCTGGTGAATTGCCGTAAGTTCTCCAGTATATATACAACAATTTGTTGGGATTCATATGGTAGACTTGACGTTTTTGTTGATGTAGGCTGCAGCATATCCTTCATTACATTTGGAAACATCAGTGAAGATTTGATGGGATGTTGGGTATTTGGATATTACATTTTTATAAGCTTGCTGTATAGGGAAAGGATGTGTGGAATGTTTCTGGACTTCTTTTAGAGGCATCTATTTTGAAGGTTTAATCATCCAAGGAGGAAAATATACATGAATAGGCATAGTAAGACTGAACTGTTCTAAATTAAGAACAATACCAAGTTCCTCTTGTTGATCTGTATTTAATAGATCTTTGAAATATTCCGCCCATCTGTTTAATTTGTCCATTGTTTCAACTAGAAGTAAACCTTCTTTGTATCTGCGATATTGTGGATTATTTTTGTAGTTTCTCGCAATTTATTAACTTCTTGGTAGAAATTCTTTACCTCTTTATTTATGTGGGCTTCTTCTATGTTTTTCAATTGCTTTTAGCTGTTCTCTTATCTTTTTCTGCAAATTTTTTTCACGTCCCTTCTTCTTGCCACACAGTTTTCGATCACATTTTGGTTATTTTCTTTATCTCTTTGTAGTTTTGCCCTATTTCTTTTTGTCAAAACATTCCTACATTCTTCATCGAACCAGTCTTACCGCCTTTTTATATGATCTCTTCCTATAAACTTTTCCGCTGCTTCCGACATGGCTGTCTGTATGGTCGGCCATTTTTCTTCTATATCCTGTTTGATTAGATTCTCTAGTTTTTTATTTATTTCTTCCTCTAGTCTGTTTACAACCTGCTTCTCTTGAAGATCTTCCTGCTTCTCTTGAAGATCTTATTTGTCTAAAAAGTCTACCTTGTTTAACACTGAAGATCGTGGAGGCCACTTTAAGGCTCCTCCCCTTCTAATTTATCTTTCAGGAAAACGTCAAATATTTAACTTAGGCATGCCACATGAAAACAGTTTTAAAATTAAAAGTGAAACTGGAACAAACTATGAAGTGGAGATATCCAGGAGTGGCTAGTATACCTGTTGAATACAAGGCACGTGGTGATCGTGTGTATTAAGGTATAAAAAATGCTTATTAAAAGCTTAAAATTTTATTTTAAAGAAGATCTTTTCGGAATAAACTCATTCCATCATCAGTTTACTAAAAGAGAGAGTAAAAATACTAATATTAAACAACAAGTAAGTTAACATTTAAATATATAAAAGGAACACGTTGGTTTTTTACTACTTACATAAAAAGTTGTCAAAAAAACATTGTATGGCCACATGAAAAAATAGTAGAGGACTCCGTATTAAAGAACTATCCGCAAGGTGTTTATGAAGGTAAATGCAATAGACTGTTGATTTGTAGATTACTAAAAACTGAAAATGGGGGCATCTTACATGACCCCCTGTAATTGGTGAGGTTTTATTGACTTACATTACCTCTGATTTGTGCTGGAGTCTAGGGGTAACTGATAGAAAGATGGTAGAAAGAAAGATAGAAAGAAATAAAAGTTTTAAGCTTTTAATAAGCATTTTTTATACCTTAATACACACGACCACCACGTGCTTTGAAAACAGTTTTAGAATCTTTGTAAGTAAATGAAATTAACAGCAGTTAGTAAACTCTCTTAGATATTGAAGAACAAAAAATACCCCCAGTACCTAAAAACGCGGGTTCTCTCCAATAATTCTAATTTTTGATATTTTTAAAATAAAACGCTGTAAGAATTAATAACACTGCCAATTTTTCTTTTTGCTAGTTATAACACTTAGCATCAACTTTAAAGCTCTTCTTTTTTGATCGTTGATCAAATATTTGCAGACAACAGATATTTTACAAATAACGGTTTTAATTTAGTTAAGAAAATAGCGACCCACGAGGAAATGGAATTCGAAAAGTTTTCTAATTGAAATCGATAATTTCGCTACAGGAAGCTTGTCAGAGGGTCGACGCAGTTAGTACCCCGAAACTAATCGTAAGTTTCCAAATTTAGATCAACAGAAAAACAATTAAATGCGACAATATTAAAATAAAACAGGAGCAAAGCGGTTTACGCTGTTCCGCATATAAAACAATTTCGAAAGCGATTGTAAACGTGTCGAGTACAAACAGAATTTATATAGAAGTCCCTCATATGTGAAGGTAAAGCAGCTTATTTCGAAAATTTTAGTTTTCCAGGAAATAGAGTTGAATATATAAACCATTTATTGCTGTAATATTTAGATCAATAAATTGCAGTTAAACGAAAACAATTTTAATTATTGTAGGAGTTCACATCGATACTCCATACCGAGCGGACGTTAAATGGTTCTCTGTTATCAACATTCGACCGGTTTTCTCGATTTGAACAGATAAATGTGAAGTGATTAAAAAGCAATCAATTAGTAATAGACTTAAAAATAATAAACTCATCAAATTAAATTTAAAAACAATACAGTAATTTATTTATAATGTTTCCAACGGGAAATGGACCAGGATTCGACAACTACATAGTTAGCCAACAAATACAAAATGTAAACAGCCAGCCATTACCAATCCAGTATCCATCAAACCAAATGAATTGTTACCCACAAATGCAGATTCCAAACAACACACAGGGTCAATCACAAATCAACAATATACAGGGTTATCCACAAATCTCATCACAAATACCAGGTATGTACAATATGCAAATAAATCAACCAACCACTAATTCTTCGACGAATATGATATTTCCGCCCAATCAAGAACAATATATAAATCAACAAAACGCGGCACACAACAGCAATATAAATAACAGAAATAGCCAGCAATACTACAGAATGTCATCAACAAGCGATGACGAACCAGAAAGTGCAAATGTGTCAACAAATAACTCATGGCAAGTAGTTAAAACTACAAAACGCAGAAAAATCAGATCAAATGTAGAAACAGACAAAGAAGATGATACCATTACACTATCGAACAAATATAATACCCTAACGGATACCCAAGAAAATGAAACCAATCAAAATGAAACAGCGCCAAGAATACCTAAACCACCACCAATATTTGTTTACGATGTAAGCGACTTCCCAGAAATGAGGAAAAAATTTACAGAAATAGCTGAAGCTGAACAATACGAAACCAGAACTATGGCAAATAATCTTCTTCTTCTTCAAGTGCCATCTTCGTTCCGAAGGTTGGCGATCATCAGGGCTATACGTATTTTCGAAACTGCTGACCGAAACAATTCGTTGTTGCTACAACTATACCATTCCCGTACTACATTCCCAACTATACCATTCCCGGCAAATAATACAGTCAAAATAATTTGTAGCGATCCAGAAATATACAGAAAATTCTCCAGATATATGAGAGAGAACAACATTATTCATCACACATATCAACCAAAGGAAGAAAGGGCCTATAGAGTCGTAATTAAATACCTTCACTATTCACATGCAACAGAAGACATCAAAGAAGAACTGACAAAACTGGGTCACAAGGTAAGAAACATCATTAATGCTAAACATAGGATTACAAAAGAGCCGATAAATATGTTCTTTGTTGACCTTGAACCATCAGACAATAACCAAGATATTTATAAAATTCAGAAACTACAACACTGCAATATACAAATTATATTGCACCACCTATAAAAAACAAAAATATCATCCAATGTATGAGATGTCAATTATATGGCCATTCAAAAACATATTGCAATAGACCATATGTCTGTGTGAAATGTGGAGGACAGCACAGTACAAGCAGTTGTAAAAAGAACAAGAACACACCAGCTACATGTGCTTTATGTGGAGGAGATCACCCAGCTAACTATAAAGGATGCGAATATTATCGTAATTTAAATAGAAATAAAAATATAGCACAAACTACATATAATCATCACCAAAATATGTCGCAAGCACGTAACAGAAACTTTATACCCAACACAGTAAGACCAAATGTAAGCTATGCTAATGCAGCGGGTAATAGACAACCTCCTGCTGCTCCTTCAGATAACCAAGATTCAAACACCATTCTTATGAAGTTTTTAGAAGAATTCAAAGCCATGTTTAATCAAATCTTGCAACAAAACAGCATGGTAATAAACATGCTAAGTAAACTCATATGCAAATAAAATTCTTTCTACGAATAGCAGAATGGAACGCCAATGGCCTGCTGAATCATAAGGACGAGGTGATAATATTTCTACAACAAAATTTTATAGATGTATTATTAATAAGTGAGACACATTTTACAGACAAATCGTATTTTAAAATACCTCAATATCTAACGTACCATACTAACCATCCAGACAAGACAGCCCATGGAGGTACAGCAATTTTGATCAAACAATCAATTAAACATTTCATGATGGAAAGTTATATAACAGACTGTATCCAAGCTACAGTAATTAAAGTGTGCTCATTACCTTACGAAATAACAATAGCAGCAGTGTATTGCCCTCCAAAGCACAATATTAAAAAAACCGATTTCGCATCCTTCTTCAATACTCTAGGTCCAAAATTTATCGCAGCTGGTGACTTCAATAGTAAACACACGTACTGGGGATCAAGATTAATAACAACAAAGGGGAGAGAGCTTTATAGCTTAATGCAAGAAAATAAATACTCATATTTATCAACAGGAACACCAACGTACTGGCCAACGGACCCCAAAAAAAGACCAGACCTCTTAGATTTTTGCATCATAAAAGGAATATCTAACACCTTTATGGACATAGTTCCAAGTTATGATCTATCTTCAGATCATTCACCAATTATTGCAACAATTACCACCTGCGTTATTAACAAACAACCTACTCCAAAACTGCATGGACCTAGAACAGATTGGAACGTTTACCGAAAAATACTGGATGAAAACATTAAACTAAATGTAAGACTAAGAAGCCCTTCAGAAATAGAAGCAGCTACAAACAACTTTATGACATTATTACAAAACGCTGCAAAAGAAGCGACACCGAACGATGCAGATAAAAATAAAATCGAGAATAGAATAAATATTCCACTAGAAATTAAAAAGCTCATTGCTGAAAAAAGAAGAGCAAGAGCCAAATGGCAACAAAGTCGGAACCCAGCGGATAAAACGTTTTACAATCGCTTAGCCAATAAATTAAAAACACAACTAAAAATTGCAAGAGAAGAGTCAGTCAAAAAATATGTAACACAACTTAATAGATACGACCATTCAATATGGAAACCAATCAAATCATCCTTAAAACCTCAAGCAATATCGCCACCAGTAAGAAAAACCACAAACACACAGAACCAATGGGCAAGAAGCGATAAAGAAAAATCCGAATTATTTGCTGAACATTTAGCAACAGTATTCCAACCACACAACAATGAAGAAGATCAAGAAATTATTAATTATTT